CATTTTAAATGGTGCAATGGAGTGTTGTGCATCACAGCTGAAGCTTTCCACACTCAGAAGACCAAGGTCAAAGACAATGCACAGCGGGTAGATAATGCAGGATTTTCTATGATGGCAAGAGGGGAACATGGATTTCACAAGGGAAAACTGGGACAGCCTGAGTAAGTGGCTGGAAGAGACTGTGTCCAAGAAAAGTGTAAATGTTTTGGTAGGCGTGGTGACACACGCCCGTGAGCACAGTTACGGTGACCACGTCCCAAATTCAAGCATAAGAAGATCCATCTCAAATGGATAATAAATACATAAATACAAGTGTGCATGATTTGTATTGAAGAAATAGGACACTTTCTTTTGGATTTCTCTGTAGATTTCCCATAAGAACTATCTGAGTGGTAACATTTGGATTGTTTGATTATTCCACATGGAATTGTATGGTATGGAGAGACGTTTATTTTAAGCACATGAAGAAGTTTTGAATACCATTCCCACAGTTTCAAAACAAAGAGTAGACTTTTAGAAAATGATGGTTTGGTTTCCATTTCCTTGAACCTTTATGTCCACTTGTATAATCCGCATGGCTAATGAGCTTCAGAAGTGGTTCTGAAATGCTTGAATAATGGTCTTTCCATTTATATATTTTCAATAAAATGCACATATGTACATGTCATATATTACATACAATATGTGTATATATATTCTATATGTGCCTATCTATTACAGATAGAACAGCTTATTATGAAGATAACCTTTTTCCTTTCTTCTCTCCCTTTTACTTTTAAAAATCTCCTGTTAGGGTGAAAGCATGTTGTGTCTGAAATCACAGTTGTGTTAGATGGTGCTAGAGAGCTGATACAGATCACCTTCTGTCTTATAATGCAGCATGCAGAATGCAAATTGATAACTGATAAGATTACACAAACATTCATTTTCTTACCAAAAAATGCAGGATCCAAAGATGGAGCACAGCAGTACAGCACCTGCCTAGCATCTGCAAAGCTCTGAGTTCAGCCCCTAGTATGGCAAAAACAAAGACACGACGACAAACAAATAAAAGTAGAAACATACAATAGTGTTACCTATTGTGATTTGTTCCAATGTGAAATCTTGTTGTTTACCCTAGCAGGTGGGTCCCACTGGCCTTTCTGGAGGGCTCGTGTCTCATCAGGCAGCACTGTCTTCCTGTGTCACTGCAAGACACAGGACCTCTCAGGTTCTGGTGTTCTTCATATCAGAGACTCAACCTGGGACCTGAATTTGGGGAAATTAATGGAAATATTTGAAGTACATTTTACAAATGTGTTAATAGATATATCATGTGAGATCTTTTTTTTTTTTTTTTTGGTGTGGGGGATGTGTGTCTCCCTAAATCACTGGTTTCCTGGGCTGGGCTTGAACTTTCGATCCACATGCTTCAGCATCCCAGAGTGCTGAGTTTATAGGTGTGCACCACCTGGCTCTTTTTTTTTTTTTTTCTCATGCTAAAGCTTTATTATGGTGTTTTTTTTTAATTATTTTTTTTATTTTAAAGATAAAAGGAAGGAAACATTAACAGACATACAACATTTTACAACATATCACAAGCACAATACAGACAATACAGAGAACCACCTGGCTCTTAATAATTTTTTAAAGTGCAATATTATTAACTGTAAGCACAGTGCTGTACAGCAGATCTCTAAATCCACTGAACAGAAATTGTCCTTTTCCACTCCCCTGAGTTCCCTAGGAAACACTGTGTTACTTTCTGCTTCTGTAGTTTGACCGTGCTGAGGCCTCACATGAGTGAAATCATGCAGTATTTGTCCTTCTGTGAGGGGCTTATTTGACATAGCATAATGTCTCCTGCTGTGGGGAGCAGTGTAGATGTTCTTCCAATAATTAAAAGAAGAGCTGCCACATAATCCAGAGATTTCAATCCTGGGTATTTATGCAAAAGTATTGAAATCAAGATCGAGAAGAGACATTTATACCCCTGTGTTCATTGCAGCTGTTTATAACAGCTGAGAGATGGGAGCACCCTGAAAGCCCATCAGTGTGTGAGGGGGGAAGGTAAATTTGGTGTCCACAAACTGTGGACATTTATTATTTAGCCATAAGAAGAAGAAAATCCCATCCTGTTCTATATCATCCATTACATGATAGCCACACCTTAGGGAAAACTTGGAGAAGAACTCTGTACCTTTGAGTTACACCAGCAAAGATACACGGGGCATGTGTTTCCAACACCAACCACTGAGAATAGTCAATGATTATTTAACTGATCACTCATGTGTAGCTCTACTTGTTTTTTCTGGAAACCACTTTGAAGATACCAAAGTATAGTACAATAGCCATTGATAATCTCCTACCTCTTTTGTCTGTAACTCACTATTATTTGTCTATTTGTTTTCCTGAGAAACTATCTTGAAGATACCAATAGGTAAAATAACAACCACTGATAACTTCCTACCACTTTGTCTGTAATTCCACAAGTCCTCCTATTACTATGTTATCCTTCTTTTACTCTTTAAAAAAGAAAAGATATAGGGGGCAACGAAGTAAGAAGTACTGCATTAGGGCAGGTCTAACCCTAAACAAAGTCAAGCTATGTTAAATTTCTGTTTGTCTTTCTGTGTTTGTGCCTGCTTCGGATAATTAATATGCTCATGACACTATATACTTCTCCCTGGCAAAATGCTAAAATGTTTCCTATATAGTCTGCTTTTTTAGGAGGATCCCCAGTGAAAACATACTTACCCCATTTTCTCAAAGCCCCACTCCCTGTGAGGAGAGGAGAATGAATGGAGCCCTGGTGCAATAGTTTGCCTTTCTCAGGTGTGAGCATTTCTACTGGGAATGTCAGTGACCTGCACTGATGGAAGCGAACCGTGGGGGCTTGGGGCGCAAGGTCAAGGCAGAGCGGAGGAAGCAGAGGACGACAGGGGCTCTTCTCCATCCTCCGGGGTTACGGGACACACACAAGCCTCCACATGCAAGACCCTCAGCCCACCTGGGGAAAGAGGAGGAGAAAGGGAAACAAACCAGTGTAGCAATATCATCTGGAATTATTTTTTGCATCTTCAAGAAAGTCTCTTTAAGATGAATTTTTTGAAAAATAGGAAACGTAGCCATAAATATATATATTTTTCTCCTTTTCTCATTTTTTAAAACTTGAGGACATTTCTCATGGACCTAATTATTTCTGAATTTTTCTAGTCATGTGATAAGGATTTGGCAGTGAGAAAAGAAGTTCCACTTTTGTTTGATTTAGAGCTCCTCTTTGCCTTTTAGGAAGTTTTGTTTTTTAAAGGAGTACTTTGTCCTTTTTCATGATCCTTATTATAACTAGTGTAATACATATAAAGAAGACAGTGTATATATAGTCATATTTGGAACCTGGTGTAGTTCCTGTAGTTTTAAGTATTAGATAAGTCCAAGTATATTCTGTATAAAATACTTCCTTCATGGAATTTAGATCACTTTATATTTAGAAATAATAGAGATGGCTGGGCCTGGTGGCACATACCTGTAATCCCAGCACTATTAGAGGCTGAGACAAGAAAATTGCAAGTTTTTACTCAGGATGTGCAAGTTAGTGGGATCCTGTCTTAAAATAGAAAGAAAAAAAAGAACTGGGGATATAGCCTAGTGTGAAGGTCCTGAGTTCAGTTCCAAGTACTGCATTAAAAAGAAGAAGAGGAAGAAGAAACCTGTAGTCATGGACTGAAGATTTACAGTATTGTGAATGGATTTGTGGAAGTAGTATTTCCCATTCCAACTTCATTCCCATTTTACATCAATTTTTTCTTACATAACAGAGGTGACATTTAAATATTTCCCTAATGTTACTGGCATAATCGAGTCTGTCAAAAAGCCATATGGTTTATGCAAACGCAATGATAATCTTGGAACATCGACATATATAAGCTTAATTTAAAACGCCTGTGAAAATAGTGGAAACCAGATGGAGAGTTACCATAGAAATAATTAACACTTAGAGGAAGAAAGATGTACCTTTATGGTCACAGCAATTTTCAAAGAATGGTCAGACTTGCAAGATTTTATCCCCCTCCATTGTCAGGAAAGAAAACCACTTCTTGGTATGTAAATATTTTAAAAAATTACCTATGATTGCACAGTGCTTTTATTATACTCTAAAAACATTATAAATATGTACATTTTGATTGATAAAGATTTTTTAGTAGTGGAAGAGAATTCACCACTATTTTAAATCAGAATGTTCTTTTTCATTTCTCTGAATGAAAGGATAAGTGTGGCTTATTAGTTTTGTTTGCCTTAGGTAGGTTTTCATTTTGATATAACAGAATATTTAGTCTCAGAAATACATTGCATTTAAAGGAAAATGTCTCAAATTTGAACTTATAGATTAATAGTATTAACCCTCAAAAATAGGAACTAAAGACTGAATGTCTCAATTAAAGTAATTTAAAAATTGTTTAGGCCAGTTTCTTTACTAGAAATTATAATTGCTAGATAGTGTTCTTTACTGTAGTTTAATCATAAATTTTAAAACCCCAAAGGGAAGTCATTTGTGCTGCTAATTTTGTACCAGTAATTGTTTACCACTGGATCTTTTTTTATATAGACATTACCATACCCTTTGGAAAAATTAATAACTAAATTTTAATTCTTTTCTCTTCTGAGGCAATTTTAGTTGTTGTGGTTCTGATGAAATAGATTAATCAAAAGTGGGAAAGAACTGGAGTTGGGGCCAAGGGGAATTTGGAATGTCAATATAACATTTAATCAAATGTGAAACTGAATTAATGTTATTTCAACCTTCCAAAATGAAATATCAAGAACAGAGGGATAAATATCAGTCATTCCAATTTGCAGTAGGCATTCACAAAAATTTGTTCCTTTGCAAGATGCTAAAATCATACAGTGAAATTCAATGGGAATTGGAAATGAGAATGTAGGGATCAAAGTAAAAGCACAGCAAATTTTTAGAAGAGTGCAGATGGATTATCATCTAAATGGTGTTTTCTTTCTTTTTTAAGATTTGGATGGCAACTTGCCTTTCTGCCGTTGTGTTATGGCTACCACTGCAGTCAAGAGATGGAAAATGAACTTCTGATGCGGTCCAATGAAGTTGGCTTTCATCAGCATCAGAACCATGTATAGAAAGAAAACAAAATACAGATGTAAGAGGAGGGCGGAAGAGAGAACTCAGCAAAAATACTCGGAAATCATGCAGTTGAACCTTGAGGAAAAAACCAACTGTAGGAAAACTGTAGCGCGAAACGTCTATCATTAGTGAGCAGGCAGGGGTTTACTTGACTTCATACCTGTGCTCCTTCCTTTGTTTTGAGTAAAGAAAAAAAACTCAATATTTTTGGGAATTAGAAAAAAGTTTGTTGAAATAAGAAGAAAAGTGTTTTGGGAACTGTGCCAGTTACTCTTAGTTGCCAACTTGACTGAACTGAGACTCTTGCGAAGGTGAGTGGATCGCGGCGGTACTACACACCTCGTGGATTAACCCACTGATGTTCACAGCTGGACCGGCTGTTTGGACCCACTTTGGTTTTCCAGTTGTTCCTCCCCGGGCTCTGCTTCCCAGCCAGAGCACAGACACGGACTGAGCAGCTTTGCACCCCCGTACTGTTATGTTTCTGTGTTGGAGCCAGTCCGCCATGGGCTTGAAATTCTGAAACCATGAGTCACACAGGTCTAAACTGTGGGTGTCGGGTGTTTTGTCCAGTGATAAGAGAACTGATTAATGTAGGAATTAAAAAATAAATGCTTGTTGAAGTCTAAGAAGAATAATGCAAGCTGGGTGTGGTGTTGCATGTCTGTAATCCTAAGGCTCAGGAGGGCTGAGGTGGAAGGATCACAAGTTTGAGCCCAGCTTAGCAACTTAGCAACTTAGCAACTTATACGTAGTCTTAAAATTAAAAAAAAAAACCAAAACCCTGGGTTCAATCTTCAGGACTGGAAAAGAGGCAGAAGAAGAAGAAGAAGAGGAAAGAAGAAGAAGGAGAAGGAGAAGGAGAAGGAGAAGGAGAAGGAGAAGGAGAAGGAGAAGGAGAAGGAGAAGGAGAAGGAGAAGGAGAAGGAGAAGGAGAAGGAGAAGGAGAAGGAGAAGGAGAAGGAGAAGGAGGAGAAGAAGGGGAGGAGGAGGAGAGAAGGAAGAGGAAGAAGAGAAAGGAAAAGAAAAATGCAGACTATAGTACACAGCTCAAGAAATTTGGGGAGGGGGGCTGGGGATTTAGCTCAGCGGCACAGTGCCTGCCTGGCAAGGGCAAGGTTGTGAGTTCAATTCCTGGTACTGGAAAAAACAACAACAACACACAAACCAAAAAAAAGAAATTTTCACAAAGTGAAGTTACTTGTACAACAACAATGGTTATTAAAATCCCAGATTCCATCCTGGTATAAACTTTTAGTCATTACAGCCCAAGATATAATCATAATCTTAACTTTCAAATCAATGAATATTTGTCTTTTTCCAAAATTTACATAAATGTAATCATAAGGGTTACAGATAGAGTTTGCCAAAAAAAAGGTATACACACTTCAGGAAAAGAAAAACAGTATGTTTTTTTTTTTTTTTTAACAGAGAGTGTTACCCTCGTAATGGGGACCCTGGTGGATGTCATATACTGCAGAAAATCCACTACACTGCTGGCCCTGAGAGAAGAAATTGGAAATGCATGTGCAGCAATCTCAATGACCAAGGTTTCCCAAGCAGCAGTTTGCCATACTAATAAATGTCTGGAAGTTAATGGCCTCCCTTTGAGCCCTTCTTGTAATTGTAACGGCCAGAGGTAACTTGCATTAATCTCATGATGTCTCAATAAATTTAGTATTACAATATTTATATAAGTCTTACTTTTCCTGAAGTGTGTATACATTTTTTTGGCAGACTCAGAATATTTTTTGTTTGGTCTGTCTCTGCTTGGTGAAAGTCATGTTTATGAGATTTATTCTGGTTGTCATATATAACCATTCTTTATTCCTTCTTGGTGCTCCATGGTATTTTCTTACACAAAAAGTCTGCAGTGTTTTTGCTTATACTAATATTATTGGTCAAAACATTCTTCTACATGTCTTTTAGGGAACATAGACACACAGTTCTTTGGGTGTATACCTAGGAGTGGAATTGCTGGGACATATGATAATCAATTGCTGAAGAGTATTTCCAGAGTAGTTACTTGTGGTGGTGGGGGGCAGATGGGATCTCACTGTGTGCTCCAGGCTGGACTCCAGGTCCTCTGTTCAAGCTGTCCCCCCGGCTCAGCCTCCTAAGTAGCTGGTACTACATACTTGTGCCACAGTGCTGTTCGCAAAGTAATTCTGTATGAATTCTAATTGTTGCTGAGCACTCAGTGTCTTCTTTTTAAAGAATGCCTGTTCAAGTTTCTTGCTCAATTTTTCTATTGGATTGTGTTTTTCTTACCAGTTTTAGGAGTTTTCTTGTGTTCTGGTTCTGAGCTTTTTGTCAGTGAGATGTACTGCAAGCATGTTCCACTCTGGGGCTTAACATTTTACTTCTTAATGATAACTTTGATGAATAGAGAGTCTTAACTTTCATACAGTATAATATATCAATTTTATATCTTTTATGCTTAGTGTTTTGTATATTCTCTCTCCTTGTGTGTGTGTGTGTGTGTGTGTGTGTGTGTGTGTGTGCCTTTTTGAGACAGGATCTCACTATGCAGTTCGGGCTGGCCTTGAACTCACTTTGTAGCTCAGGCTGACCTTGAACCCTCAGCAGTCCTCCTGTCTCAGCCTCCTGAGTGCTGGGCTTACAGGCATATACTGATGCACTTTTGGCTGCATGCTGATAATCCGTGATTGCTCTTGGTAACTAATTAGAACCTCTTTGTGAGACAGAGAAGTTCCCGACTCTCTTTTTCTTGTGCCAGCCACGGGTGTGGTGGTGGTGCTGGTAGTGTGGTTTGACCGATGGCGATTACACCCCTCCCCCTTCCCTTTGCTCCCATTGAGCACCTTCCCCTCTGTGGGCTGGAAGAACCCGCGTCTTGCCTCACGTCCTCCTGCTACCCGTGAGGTTGCTTTGCTGCAGCTCAGCTGTGCCCCGTGTTGCCCCTCCCCCACCCCGCGTTCCAGGGCTGCTCCGGCCTCTCTGAAGAAGGGAGGGGACGCTCTCCCTACTGTGGCTGAGATCAAGGAGGCGGGGACGGATCCGAACCCATTATTATCACCGCTAGCCTTCCCAAGCCCGAATCCACTGTAATGAACACAGCCAGCCCTCCTGAAGATTCCCGGGTTTTGGCCGCTTCATTTTTCTGTCAATCAACAGCTTGCATTAGGCTACCCTCTCATCGAATTCGTGGAGTTGCTGTGGTTTTCCTGGAGCCCTGCACCTACTTGGACCACAGGCCTGAATCTGAATCAACCGCAGGCCTACACTTGGACCAATCCATCATAGGCCCGCAGCTGCTGCCTAAGCAGCACGCCACTCAAATTTGGGGGGTGTTAGTCTCCAAGGGCTCGTGCCGGTTACTAACGTCCCTGTGCTCTTGCACAAACCCTGCTAAAATAAAGCCTCGCTCTGGTGTTCTGTAAATCTGCTTGTGACGTATTTTTCAGTTATTATGGGTTCAAAAGTTCCCGTAAACCTGATTTTCTCCTGAGTAGTGTGGACAGAGCAGTTGCCTCAAAAGAAAGAGCAAAACATGAGGGGTTGTCAGCCCCGGGGCGCTGCAGAAATCCGCAGCCAACAAAGATCAAGGGCAAAGCGCAGCACGGGAAGAGTCTCTTGACGGCGTCTGGCCCCCACCAGCGTCAGATGGTGGCCGTGACAGAGCCTAGCAGTCAGCAGCGTGGACCACTGACATCCAGGGTTAACTGGTGTGGATGGGTACCAGGACCACTCACGGGGGCTGTCCTTCACCAACTCCTGATTCTATCTGAATGTGGCCGAAGGACCCTCTGCTGGCCAGGAACACTTGTATCCTCTTTTCCTTTTCACTGAAGCAGAAATTATTTCTGTGTACCAGACAGTCCACGGATCCGAGCTCCATTTCCGTACTGAGGACTCTCCTCGGCTGGGGAGATTTCGTTTGCTTGTTTTCGTCCCCGAGTCAGTGTCTCACTCTGTCGTCCCGGCTGGCTTAGGTGTGCACAGCTGTCTTCCTTGTGATGGAGGTGATGTCACCCCTACTTTACAGGTCAAGAAAACTGGAACTGTGAGACATCGGGAAATATTAAATACCACAAGCTGAAAGCAGTGGCCGAAGAATTATGACGAGCGATATTTGACTCCCAGCGTACTACTGGATGTGCTCTCGACAGCCCCAACCGTGTCTCGTCCCCAGACTGTCACGAGATGTGATCCCTTTAGGCAGCTGAAGCCCTCTCCGATTCAGAGGTGCCAGGTTATGGTCTCACCCATGCTGTTTGTCTGTTATCCCTCTTAAATCAGGCAAGTTAGGGAGAATGCTAACATTTCCTGGCTCCTGAAAAATTGCAATGATGATTCCTTATTCAAGCCAAATCCACAAAAGGGCTGTGGAGTGTGGTTGTTTTAAGAATCCGGAATTTTTTAAAGAAAGATAAACTCGAGGTTTTTATAGGTAAATGGTCACAACTAGAGACCATACTCATAAGTGAAATAAATCAGACCTGCATGTGCAGGCAATGTATTGTCTCACCAGTGTAAGAACCTGAAAGAGTTAATTTAAACTAGGAGGTATGATAGACATTGTGAAATGATAGGAAAACACTCAAGGGTAAAGGGCAATTGGGATGTGGGAAAAGAGAAGGGAAAGAAGGAGAAATTTTGTATGTATGTATATACAGGATAGTTAACATGGCTGTTCTACTGTCTTCTATTTCTTTGCTGAAATAAACTGTCAGTGAGTCCTTGATCCATCAATATTGCATGTCTCTATCTGTTTTCATGAGAAACCACTTTGAAGATATCAATATGTAATACAACAAGCATTGTTAATTTCCTACCACTTTGTTTGTAACTCTGTATTGTCTGTACTGTTCTTTTGCTATTTTGTAAAAGGTTGTCTGTCTGTTAATGTTTTCCTCCTTTTACTTTTAAAATTAAAAAAGAAAAGATTGAGGAATTTTTTTTCTCTTTCCAAAGAAGACATTAGTAAGGGAGATATATATCTACCAATTATAAATCTTTTTGACAAACAAACAAATCACCAGTTGTTTTGAGGCAATTTATTCTGATTAGTCAAAACTGTGGACACAAGAGGCACTAAGGCATGCTATTTAAGGGATTAGAAATAATTCCGCATAGAAATTCATGCTTCATCATAGCGGTGAGTCATTCCTCAACCATCCAGTGCTTGAAATGCAAGGAAGTAAGAGATAGTAATGTGCTTTTTATGGCAAGTTAAAGGTGCTGGTTCTCTACTGAGAAATGCTCAAGGTTCATTGCTGGTATCTTTTGTTTTCCTATGAAGGTAGGTGAAAGGCATATTGTAACGTGCATCCGGGTCCCTGTACAGGCTGAGGAACTTACTCCTGCATCAGCGGAGAAAGTCATTTTGTCCCGGTCATGGACCCTTCCCAAGGGAGCTGGTATGTCATGACAGGTTGCTGCTTGCTATAAAGACCCAGACCTTTTTCTAAAAATTTTATTCATACATTATATATATATATATATATATATATATATATATATATATATACACACACATATATATATGATGTTCATCATATGGAATTTGTACCTGAACATGATCTATCTTCTTTCTTCTTTTTTTTCCCATTCCCATCCCCTCCCTTCAACCTCTCTATGCTTCTTATTTACAAAAGTTTTGTTCTCATT